CTTTTGCTATCATATGTTGGTGTTGGTGTTGGTATCTTGGTATCCTTTTGCTATCATATGTTGGTGTTGGTATCTTGATATCCTTTTGCTATCATATGTTGGTGTTAGTGTTGATATCTTGGTATTCTTTTGCTATTGTATGTTGGTGTTGATGTTGGTATCTTGGTATCCTTATGCTATTGTATGTTGGTGTTGGTGTTGGTATCTTGGTATCCTTTTGCTGTTGTATATTAGTGTTGGTATCTTGACATTTTTTTGCTATCATATGTTGGTGTTGGTATCTTGGTATCCTTTTGCTATCGTATGTTGGTATTGGTGTTGGTATCTTGGTATCCTTTTGCTATCATATGTTGGTGTTGATGTTGGTATCTTGGTATCCTTTTGCTATCGTATGTTGGTGTTGGTGTTGGTATCTTGGTATCCTTTTGCTGTCATATGTTGGTGTTGGTATCTTGGTATCCTTTTGCTATTGTATGTTGGTATTGGTATCTTGGCATTCTTTTGCTGTTGTATGTTGATATTGGTATCTTGGCATTTTTTTGCTGTCATATGTTGGTGTTGGTATCTTGGTATCCTTTAGCTGTCATATGTTGGTGTTGGTATCTTGGTATCCTTTTGCTGTCATATGTTAGTGTTGGTATCTTGGCATCCTTTTGCTGTCATATGTTAGTGTTAGTATGTTGGCATCCTTTTGCTGTCATCATGTTATTTATCAGATAATTTATTTTTTTTTGTTGAATTTCCTTGGTGTCTTGGTGTCCTTTGGCTGCAGTCACATTATTTAGCAGCTAATTTGATTTTTTTTAATTAAGAGGTGGGCTTATTTGAAGTATTTTTTTATCATGCTTCTATAACAAATACTGATAGGTTTAGATTAGAGTTAGTAGATATGTGTTGAAGATTGAAATAAAGGCTATGGGTAAGAATGTTGAATGTATGTTAGCATAAGGTTAAGTTTGAAATTAGCATGGAGGTTAGAGAAATTGATAGTTAACGGCTTGGTTAGAATGACATTCATTACTAAAATCATTATTTATCATGACAAATATACAATGAATAACTATGATAAGTTTAGCCTCATGCCTATTAGCAGGCCTTTGTCCTGTTGAGATTTTTGCTATATATAATTAAAGTAGCTGCGTGATGTAGTAATGAATGCCAATTATTCTGTGCAATCTATTTCAAAGTATTGTGCATCATATAAATTAATTAATGATATATGTATAAGCG